GTGGTTAAGGCCACCATGGATTAATCTTTGGTGGTTAAGGCCACCATAGATTAATCTATGGTGGTTAAGGCCACCATAGATTAAGGCCACTAGGTTAAGGCCTTCATCTATGGTGGCCTTAACCACCAAGTTAGACACTGTTAACTACTATGATCTGTTTTTTTATTCATTTTTATTTTCTTTGTCCTGCAACAAAACATGTATCAGTAAACCTGATTTATCATCACGTTAAAGTAATTAGACGTCCTGCGTTCACGAAAGAAACAACTGTTTATTGAAAACAACAACAATGGCAGAAATGTAAAGGTGTTTGGGTGTTGTCTGTAGTTGTGTTCACTCAGTGTGTAATAACTGGAACCTAAATGTCCGTGACTTTTATCATTTTAACAATTTGATGAAGTGAGTTATTATTTATATCTGACAAACACTGTTCTACATAAATAGCTTAATATTTATTGCAAAAATCCTGTTTAGGCGTGGGCTCCGTCTGTGAACATTCCTGGTCTTTAGTAACATGTTGAAAGGTGAAGGTGGAACATTTTGAAATCAGTGCAGTTTCTCAACAACTCGTCTCCAAGTTCTATATAAATGAGAGGTTCCACGTTCGACAACACATCTCAACAAACTCTCCAGCTGTGAGAAACTTTACTGAAGCAGTGAACACTTGAAGGTAAATACAAACATTTATGTTGGACTTTATAACTTGTTCATTTGATAAAACGATGTTTTCTGTCTGTTCCAACAGTGATTCCAGTGCAGTCATGCTGAAGGTCGCTCTTGTTCTCGGATGCCTCCTGAGCCTCATTGTGGCTCAACCTGTAAGTTAATCTATAATTTAGATTCATTTGGCTCTAAGTTATATAGATCTTTACAGCCTAAAATCAGAAAAGTTGGCATTACTGATAAAAAATTTAAAAAAAGCAGGAAAAATAAATAACAAGCATTTTTAATAAGTTTGCTTTTCAGTTTTAATAGAAACAACATGAAACTCAAGCTGAAAGTGTTGTTTTGTTGAATTTAATTAATTTTATATCCTGCAATTTTAAGGCCTGTGAGACACAGCAGTTAATTCAGCAAAACTATGACACTGTAATGCTGCAAAACTCATCTCCACTGAGAATTTTAGAAACATTTTTCCTCAAAAGCAAGAATAACTATACATACTCTTCCTCATAACATTGTTACATTTCTCCAGACTCTACAAATCACTTCTAGAGGGAGCACGATTTAAAACCCTCCATATATTTTTAAGTAACTTTGCTTGAAATGTACCAAAAAAAAACAAGCATTCAAGAAATGCAAATCACCTGCAACCTTTTAAAGACGTTTTGAACAACCATCTCACATGATGCAGCTACTACTGCACAAGTTTCTAGCTCAGAATCTGTAAAAGTGACAGTTTCAGCTTGTTTTGTATGGATTACCTGCTGAGGCATCTTACATTACTTACAAGAACAATCAATGATTACTTTCTCAGGCTTTTATTGAATTCTAGTTCATGTTATACTTTACAGACAAACAAACAAACTCAGACAGTTACACAAGTGCCCACTTTCCAAGGTAGTGCACAATAATGACCAGTTTGAAATGAATTGTCTTTTTCTTATTTCTTGGAAACCTCAGTTTGCACACATTCCTTAAGGGTGTTTTGCAGAGCTGAGCTCAGAAATTAAAGTACCAAAACAAGATGGTGTCAAAAAGTGAAATAGCTTTAGTTCATTCAGTTTGCAGACAACAAAAAATCAACTATAACAAATTATTTTAGAGTGTAATAAGACATGTGGTTTGTTTGCTGCAGGAGGAGCACCTGAGGTTCGCCCGCTCCAGTGGCTCCAACTCGAATGAGGTGAGACTTCTCTGTCCTCCATTATCAAGTGAATCATGGACGTGAGGTTAAAACACCACCTCTCTATGATGCATCCATCATGTTGTTGTTGATTTTCTTACAGGGCCTATTTACAAATTCACTGGGCAACCAACTGATGTTTCAGTCCCTTCTCAACCTAATACGCAACCGATTTACCACGACAACCGCAACTACAACAACTACAACCGCAACAACTACAACCACTACTCCAACGACTACAACCACTACTCCAACAACTACAACCACTCCGACAACTACAACTACCACTCCAACAACAACTACCACTCCAACAACTACAACTACCACTCCAACTACAACTACCACTCCAACTACAACTACCACTGCACCTACAACTACAACTACACCTACAACCACAGCTACAACCAAAGCTACTACTTAATCAGAAAGTAAACTCTAACATGTAAGAAACTTACTAAATAAAGCATTTCTGAATCAATTTTTTTGACGTCAGCTGTTTTTTTTCCCTCTGTTACATCATTTTTCATTTTGTCCCCAAAGTTTTATTTTAATCCAAATTTCCAACAACACTCACTATGGCTTTCAAAAACGTTGATCAAAACTCATGTTTGCAGTTATGTGCCAAACAAACATAAAACAGAAAAAAACATGGATTGCTTTCAGTTAATTTAAGACATTTTACATCAGACGTTCAATAGAGTTTTGAACATATCCCTTTCAGGACAATAAAAAAATACTGATGCAAAGAGTGAGGGTTAATTTTATTATCTCAAGGTTTATTTTATTTTGTTTCACTTTAACTTATTTTGTACGGCATTTCAGGAAGATAAAACTAACTTCTGTGCAAATTTCATGGTTGATAAATTCATCAGACACTTCAGTCTAATTGTTGGAGAAAAACATTTTCATTTCGCTTACTACTCAAGAAGAACCACACCCGACAGCAGGAGAAGATTTTTAACAAGAATTTACTTGCAAGGGCAGTTTTTCAGGACATGTTACATTTATATACATACATGAATTTTTTAAAAATAAAAATAATAATACAATTATATATATATATA